TAAAACTAAAACCTTCCATACAAATTTGAAAACGAAAATTTCTCTGTGTATGTAGTTTTAAAGCCCATACAATTTTAGTCTAATGAAGCGAAAATTTCATCCGGCTAGAAAATCGGTTTGATTTTTGAGAATTTTTAAAAATAACAAATAAAATTTAACTCGAAAAACATCACGAATATTAAAAAAAATCAAAACGTGGTCATTTGTTTGAGTCACTGTACATCAAATTTATAAAAAAAAAATAAAAATACGAGTTACCAGATTGCATAAAATATTGTTTCTCAAAGTTTTGAAAACATTTTAAGAATAATGGGCTTTAACAATTATTAAATAATTTGTTCTATAGACTTTCGTTAAATAGGACAAAAGTCTGACGATTGGGACTAAAGCTCCGAGTACAGTAAAAAGCGCGAAAAAACCTCAATCGTTCGTATTTTTTCATCCTTGATAAGTACAATAGGTCGCCAGCAGGAAAATTTTAGAAAAAATAGGTTAATAAAAAATTTAGAAGAAAAATAAGAATTTTAAATTTTGAAATATTACAAAACAAAAAATTGAGGAAAACGATTTTTTTTTAAACTTATTCTATACAAAATTTTCAAAAAAGAAGTTTACAAAAAATTTTAAAATTAAAAGTAAAAAAAGGATCAGTCCTTTGTTTGACGCCAATATTTCAATATTTCATATAATTTAATTTAATTCGACTTTTCAAACGGATGGAAATCCTGTTCAAATTATTTTTAAACCAACCCCTCGCTTTTTGAAACAGGTGGCAACCCTCCTATATACAATTAAGAAATAAAGCCTTTTCAAAAACATTTCGATCGATACTCATAGTGTAATAATTGATTTAACTTAAAAATAATTTGAATTCCAAATTTTTATTAGGTGGCAACTCTTTTTGAAAAAAAAAGTTATTGCACATCCACAGGCCAAGCCCTTTAATTTGATACCTCATTTTGTAAAATCGAATGAACGGTAATGATCTGATGTTACAAAAACAAATTCATTCGAGCGGTTTTCGAGAATTTTGGTAATAAAAAAAAAAGTGCTAATTTTTTCAACAATTTGCCTTAAAATGCTCGATATTGGTTGAATTTATATAAAATTTGAAGGGTACACGTTAACATTTCTACTGCTCCAATGAACAACCTATATCCCGAAAATGAAAGTTATATCTGCCAACGATAAGTTGGTAGAGCACTTTAAAGGCTGAAAATTTACCCCAAAAGAAGCAAACATTTACCGTTGACCCTAGGACAGACACCGAATCGGTTACTTACAGAAATGTATCTATTGACAGATCTGGAATTTTGTCTTTGAAATCGTTTCACTACTTCTCGTTCAATAAGCGTTTTCGTGAAGCTCTATAAATTACAACTACAACATTTGCGCATAGCCTCCATATCGAAACGTAAGACGTATTCTACGTCAAAAAAAAAATGATGATAGAAAAAATTTGTTTGCTTCAAAAATAAAATTTGAATACTCTTGTGTAGTAAAGGGTCAGTAATATGTAGCTTTACCTTAGCCAATAGCAGCATCACTTCCATTTCGACAAACCGTTTGCCCGGACATGTACGCTTCCCGATACCAAAGGGCACTACAATACACGCATTCGGTACATTAACCGTAAAGTGAGCCTCCTCATCTAGCCAACGTTCAGGCCGATATTCTTTGGCATTTGGAAAATTGGCATCATTGTTGCAGGCAATCATATTTTGGCAAAGCACCACCGTCTGGAATGCAACAAAAAATCAATAAAAATTTTACACAATCTGGCAAATGTCTGACACAACTTACGCCCGCTTTGAGATGATAGCCCGACAGCTCCATATTCTCCTCGAGTATGCGCGCCAAGCAGAACGCTGTCGGCCTAATGCGATACGACTCCTGCACGCATGCTTTGGTGTAGTCCGCCTTGGCAATGGCCTCCTTCGTTATAGTCGTTTTACGATATTCACGAAAATCGTCCAGTATGCGCGTAATTACCCGCTCATCGCTGGTCACTGAGCTGAGTACAAAGAGCACCGTATTGGCAAGCTGTTGGAGACCAAAAAAATAATATATATTTTTTTTAAATAATTTCCACGCCGTTCATTATAAGCGTCCACCGACCGTTTCAATGCCCGCCGCTATGAAGTCGACAATCGCCGATTTCTTATCACGTATATCTAGATCCTTCAGCTCCAGTATATTCAAGAATATACTACGCAAAGCCGCCTCGCTCTCATCGCTCGCCGAGGTGAGGTAGTCCTCTTGCAGTGCCATTTCAACCATCTCGGAAATAACACTGTAATCAGTTGCAACTCTTTAACTGTCACTTGCTCAGTTGCGAGTATTTCCCGCCACCAACTCACTCAACACTTACTCATAGATCACCTCCTCGGCGCGCACAAAATCTCGATATGTTTTCGTTGGCAGATACTTCCACAATCCCATGCCGTAGTAGGAGTCGCGTTGTGATATGAACAGCTGCTTCACCGCGCACGCCAGCTGGCTGATACGCCCCGGCTGCTGGCCACTTTTGTCCAGGAAGCCCATGCGTCGGCCGAGCATGAGCGTACAAACCGCTTCCAGGCCCATTAGATTGGCAATGTCTTCAAAGTTATATACTTCAAGCGTTTGTGGATTGCGTTGATGCCGCAACAGTTCAATGAAGTCATCGCAGACGACATTCAGCACGGGCAGGAAGTTGTAGAGTACGCGGGGCGATGTTATGTAAGAGGTGAGCGAAGAGCGTAACTTCTGCCAAGTGGGGCCCTGCCTGAAAAAAAGGCGATGATTGTACAGAAGGTATGTAGTTTATATGTTATGACCTAATGGGCACATTTTTAGTGGTGGAGTGCAAAATGGAAAATAGTATTTTGACTCAAAGCGAAAAGTTATAATTTTTTTTGTTTATAACATCCCAGTTTCGGTGATAAGAGCGAATTGTAGTACAATTTGCGAGACTGACTTAAGAAAAAGTTTTGAAAAGCGGGTACTATTTAGTTCTTTTCTATTAACTAACAAACACATTTACTTACATACATACAATACATACCTATAATACTTACTCATTCACAATGCCCAAACTGGAATATCGATCAGGTCGCGATAATCGATACATAACGACAATTTCAGTGGGCGGCCGGAAGGGGTAACGGCTTGGATATTTCAGCACTTTTTCCAGGTCAGTGCGTTCGAACAAATGCACTATGGGTACGCCAGAGGTCGTCACTTCCAAAGCGATTTGCCCATATTTGCGGTGCCAATCTGTGGAGGAGTAGCAAAATCACATCACAATATTGAACAAAAATTTCGTTATTTCTCTAACTTCCTACTCACCCGTATACATTTCATGCATCAGCGACATTTTATACTTGCGAAAGAATACCCAAAATACCCATTTCGTGCCAAGGAAGGGTATTGGCAACGGCCCTGGTATATCCCAGACTCCGCGTGGTCGTGGAATTTCCTTTGCATGATAATAATCGTCTGATGCTATCGTCGAACTGATGGCGGCGACTAGCTTACCATTTCGTCCAGCGCGGCAGCGTGTTAGCAGCGGCTTCAAATAGGCGGTGGCTGCTTTGCCCAAATCGAAGTTGCAATAGAAAGCCAAAAGTATAGCGATTGCGATCAATAGAATCACGGCCATAACCATGGGAGTGCGCTGCGAATATAAAATAACAAAAACAAATATTTACATTAGATGTGTACGTACCTCAACTGTGTGTGACTTAAAGTATTTGCAAAGTTTCGTGTGATTTTAAGTCAGTCAGTCAGTAGGTAAGTGGTTGTGCAACTGATCTACTTAAAAACCCACTGTGGCCCACATAACAAATTCGACATACATACATAGATATATATATATATACATACTTGCAGATCGATATGTGTATATTTGTGCTAAATCACTGACAGATATTTTTAACTGCTTTTTTAGCCCCAAACAATTTCAAGATCTGATTTTTTCTGCGTGATTGCAGTTGGCGTCACGAGACGTTGAGTTATGCAAATTTGCCTAAAATTTCAGGTTGCTCACGGTGCTAATATTTTTTTTTTTAGAAAAGTTTATATATACATATATATTTGTGCACAAATAGAGCCATTTAAAAATATCGAACCTCATTTTAAGCTCTGCAATTAAACACCCACCTTACCCCTCATTGACTGGCGTCTCACCGGCTAAGTAGTGCCCACCTTCCATTGACGTTTCTGAGATTAGCCTACAGTAAGTACGTCTGGCTGGCCTCCGCACGGTATGTTTGTAAGGCAGTCCGATAATTTGATTGCCTACCTTTATGTATGCCTAACCGGTATTGGTAGCAAAATTTTCATTTCAGTTATTCTTGTTGTTGGCATGTATAAAAATAATTGTCACTATTAAATGTGGCCGATGTATGTATAACTACCAACCATTTTCTTGAATCAAATTTTTAATATAAACGATCTACATATACATACATTAGGGCGGAGTAATTTAATTTCGAAAAAAGTGTATCGCATATTCGAAGCCTTTGCCATTCCTCTTCGTACCACTTGTTCTTTTGGGCTCGCTGAAATCCGACTACTTTTTCGGCGGCGGAACTTAATGAGAAGGAAATGTGGTTCCACAGCTCGCGTATGTCGGTTGGTTGAAGAGTGCTCTCAGAGAGCAGGTACGAGAGTCAAGTGGCAAATAATTGGTTGTCTGTTGTGATTGCTTTTGATGAAACTTTTCTTGCATTGTTGGGCGCACATTTTTTGCTGCACAGAGGCGGGTGCGTATCTTGGCTGCAACAAGATAGTGGTCCGAGTCGATGTTTGGGCCTCGGGGTGTGCGTACGTCTAAAACACTGGAAGCGTGCCTTCCGACGATCTGGAGACAGCCATGTAGCCTAGTACTACATATTATCATATTTCGGGCCCGGCGAAGTCGATCAGCTTAAGTCCATTGTCGGACGTTTCGTCGTGGAGGCTGAATTTTCCGACAGTGACGCCAAAGATCCCTCCTTGCCCACCTTAGCATTAAAATCACCGAGCACAATTTTGATATCGTGTTAGGGGCAGCGCTCCTATGAGTGCTCCAAGCGCTCATAGTAGAGATATTAGGACGCCTCGTCCTTCTCTTCCGTCGGGGCATGAGCGAGATGTTGAAGAATCTCGTATTGATGCGGATTGTGGCTAGACGTTCGTCCACCGGGCTGAACGCCTGTACTCCGCGACGGAGTCTCTCTCCTACCACGAATCCAACACCGAATTTGCGCTCCTTTACGTGGCAACTGTAGTAGACGTCGCAAGGCTTCACGCTTACCTTGCCTTCCCCCGTCCATCGCATTTCTTGGATGGCGGTGATGTCAGCCTTTGTCTTCCCGAGGACATCAACCAGCCGGGCAGAGGCACCATCCCCATTAAGGGTACGTACAAGAATTACTTCTGGCCACTCCCAGGTGAATGGGAGTCAAAAGTTTTTCACACTTACGTGGACTTCTTCATAGGGAACGATCCTCTGTATAAATTTTTACAATTCAGTAAGGATTGACCAATTTGAATAGTTCGATACGCTACGATTCCTCAATAAGCATGGATAACTCGATAACTTCGATTATTCGATAAATTTATGTAATTTGTTAAGATTCTTATCGAAAAATTGCAACAAAAAATATACAAAAATATGGAAATTTTGAAGGGACGATTTTCGCCGCAATTTTCAACCAATTTTGAAACCATAAAAACTCTCCTCTTCTACAGAAAAATACCTTTGCAATCGTATTCTTGGTTTGGAGATAAAATTTATGTTAGCGTATTAATACATATGTATGTATATAGATTTTACGACGTTTGAGTTAAATATTAATGAAGTTTTGTTATCCATCTCGAAAAAAAATATAAAAATAATTTGTCAAATGTACGATTAATTAGGATTCAGCTTACCTTGAAAAAATCATTTTGGCTTGTTTATTCTGGATTTTTAAGGTTAGAAAGAAAAAATGAGCCGACTTGACTGCAGATTTGGAAACACGTATTCAAAACCAGTACAAAATTACTGAAGTTTTTTTGCATCTTTGTGCAAACCCCATCAGTTGTGGATCACTTATGGTCGCTGTATCCATATATGAGGTAGTGAGGCAGTTTTTAAATCGAAGATCGATTAAACGAGCCCTTCCGATTCGATTTTTATCGATTTTTAGTTCCGATTCGATCCGTGGATCGATTCAAGAATCGACATTCTATTTGTCTTCAATTGATGCGTATTGATCTACGGTTTAACTAAGAAAATCCCGAAAATTTTAAAGAAATTTGAATTGGAGGGTGGTACAAAAAAATAATGGGGCTTCACACCTCCCACCTTTCTAACTTCAGAGCGCAAAGACCAAAGATTTCAATGACCTGCCTCTCTTTCTCCTCCGACTAAAGGGCTCCTCATGGAAGTCTCTTGGAAATAACTCTATATCAAATTATGGCTAATACTCTAACAAAAACTCCAAAAAAACTTAAAAGCGTCCGTAAAAAAATCTACATATATACGTATATTAGATTGCATCACCAAAACAAGTTGCCGTTTTTCCGCCGGGGTTACAAAATTTATTACATTTGAAGACGTTCACCAAAATATTTCGGAAAAAATTAAGATTTTAGTGAGCTGGACCGATTTGAAAACACCTCCAAAAATGCGGGTTTTTTGAATAAAAATAGTTCATTAAAGAACTTTTTGAAAAAATCCCCTCAAATGACAAAACGTTTTAAACTTAAAAAATCTTTAAACAAATTTTTCAACGGAATCGTAATAATGAGATTTTTGAATTTTTTTTAACTTTTCTCAAAGATTGGTTTACGAAAAACTTGAATAACTGGGCAAAAACTATTCTGATTAAGACTTAGTTAAAAAAAAAGTCATTGATATCGCATTTTTTTCAAATGACGTTCGTTGATCCTACCTTTCTTTTTCATCCTTTAAATGAGTTTATTAGTAAGTCTAAATCGGAATAGCTTAGGTTAAGTTATTCAAGTTTTTCTTAAACCAATCTTTGAAAAAAGTTAAAAAACAACACCGAAAATCTCATTATTAAGATTCCGTTGAAAATTTTTTATATTTTTATGAAAATTTTTTAAGCTTTAACTGTTTTGTCATCTAAGGTGATTTCTTGCAAAAAAAAACTCAATTTTTGAAAGTATTTTCAAATCGGTCAAGCTCACGTAAATCTTAATATTTTTCCGAAATATGTCGGTGAATGTCTTAAACTAAAATAGATTTTATAATTCCGGTGGAAAAACAGTACCATTTTTTATTTTTTATTTTTGTGTAGGGAGTGATGCAGTCTAATGTATATACGTAAGCTCCATTGTATTATACACTTTTTAAAACAGTGGTTAATTTCGAAGTACGTAATAAATTTTTTCACATTTCTAATCAAAAATAAATAAACAATGGTTATCTCAGAGGTAGTCCCAAACTAATTTGGTTTAGATACGATCGTTGTATCATGAAGAAATTAACGGTACTCTTAAAGTTTTATATGATAATTGAAGTCGGTTTTGTTTTTTGCTTAAAAATTACTTGTTCTTTTCAAACTATCTACGAATTGTTAGCTACTTGATAGCTTTTGAATAAATCTGGGATATTAAACCGTTATTAAAATGATATGTATGCTTTAAAAATTACAAAAATAGTTTGGTCAGATTACCGATTTTTATTTCTATCTAAAAATTATGTAAAGATGTTATTTGACTAACTCATCAGTTATTCATTCCAATCTTTTCGGTACTCGTGGTCCACGCGGGACAGAGCCATTTACTGATAATTTTCTCGAAAGCCCCCAAAACCTCTTACTGTTCGACAACATCCATGTTTCTGCGCCATAATTTCTGTTCGTTGAGCCCAAAGTAGCACCTGTTGGCTAGAGTTATTCGTCGCTTTATCTCCAGACTGATATGTTTGGTGGTGGTTATGCTGGTAGACAAAGTCCTTCACTACTTCAAAGTTAAGACTGCCGAAAATGTCGTATGTCGCAAAATGCCAGGACTTTTTATGTGTTGTTAGGAGATACTTTCTCTTGTCCTCATCACCGCTAGACCAACCTCTTTAGCTCCTTTTCCTAAGCTGCATAATGCTGTGCTGACATCCATGGGATTCCAGCCAACGATGTCAATGTCATCCGCATACACTAGAAGTATAGTTCTTTTGCTCAATACGCTGCAATTCAGCATCCGATTGAAAAAGTCGCACGTGCTTGAATCGCCTTTCTAAAAGCTCGTTTGGTCTATAATGCCGCCGCGAAGACGTGCTTCCCAATTCGGACGGAGCCGAAAGCAGTGCTCTGTTCGTGCTATCAGGTTTAAAATCGATGTTATTGCGATTAGGGACAATCCTCAGCGAGGCGTATTCAGTGTTGCTGTTTTAGCCCTTTGGTGGCTAGATTTAGCTACTACATACTTTTTTTTGGCTACATAAATTTAAAATTGCCCCTAGCCCTTTTTTTAGCCCTTTGGAGAATTTATTCATACTTGACATGAAAAAGTTGTATATGCGTAATTTGATCTAATTTTTTTTTTCATTTATGTAAAAGATGAATTTTTAAACTAAGGAAGACTGATATATATACATATATGTATTGTATGTTCCTTATGGTTTTATGCACACATACTGTAATAGTGTTAGGGCTGTTAACTTATCTATCAACGATTTT